CTCTGACTAAAATGGAATAGTTAAAGAATATGCTTACATTTCTTCCATTAATATAAAGGGAGTAAAAAGGGGTCAGAACTGGTAGGATTTTCCCTACTTATTTGGTTTGGTCTATTTAACAGAATGGAATCCCATTAAGCCTACCAGAAATTTTCCTATTTTCTTTGGTATTTTAAAAGGACAAATATGACACCATCAGATATCAACATTTTGCTATTAAATTTAACCACACGATCTTGTGGAACTTCAAGGGATACAGTAAAGAACTGAAAGTTGCCCAACATATTTAACCTAGTTACTGATATATACCATTTTCTGGGTTTGCACAATGCATTATATCCTAAACTAACTCAACGGGCTGGGTTCGCCCACATTTTCCAAGCCATAAACAAACCAACAAGCTTAGCATATCATGCTAATTTAGTTCCTAGGTCTTTAACTGACTTCTGTTGTAGAAACCCAGACACAGGTATCGTAAGAGTGAAGTATTTCAGAGCTGGAAGGCAGAACATTTGGACATCTTGACTAATACCCAAACCCATAATATACTTCCAAATTATCACTAGACGTAAGAAAACATGGAATTTCTGCTTGTGAGGACTACTTCCTCCCATATGAACCTGTCCATCAATTGAAATTATCTTCATGAACCCGTTCTGTGATCTTCACAAATGGAGAGATGTTGGCAATGACACCAGTAGCGGTTTTTCAGCATCCTGCTGACAACATCTAACTTAGGTGAGAGAACTCTCACCTAAGATGAACTGGATTGTCCTTATCTATTATTATTATTATTATATTTTTATCCCACTTTTTTTTTTAATTTGGTCAACTCAAGGTAGTGAACATATCTCCTGCCTCCTATTTTCCCCAAAACAACCACCCTGTGAGGTGGGTTGGGCTGAGAGAGAGTGACTGTCCCAAAGTCAGCCAACCAGCTTTCATGCCTAAAGGAGACCTAGAATTCAGGCTCCTGGTTTCTAGGCCAGCACGTTAACCACTACATCAAACCGGCTCTCTATATATATGACTGAAACTAAAAATATATTCTGGCATGCTTTTTAGATTATAATGTATTGTTTTAAATTGTTTGGAAGATTTTGATTGCTTTATTATATTAAGAACCACTAACAAGAGCTGCTAAGCTGGTGAATATTAGTGAATTTAGGACTACCACATCTGGACTGCAAAAGTCATAGAACAACTAGGGGCCAGCAACGAGATATACTGTAGAAAACACTAACTCTTTGCTTCCATCCAGTTGTCACCTGGATTTTTGCAACCCAGATACATTAGCCCTAAGTGTATTTTATTAAGACCAAATATCATAAATTACAGATAACAAAAACAGGGCTGTGGTGTTTAATTGGGGCAATTTACTTCACTAAAGACTGATTTAATATGTGCCAAATGATAATGAAGATGTAAGTTTTTATATTATTATGTTCTAGGATTAGGGTTGGAGTTGTGAATGCCTGCATACATCTGTTTTTGAAGAGGCAGATCCTCCTTCTTTGCTGCTCCTTTTCCTTCAGACATTAGAGAAACTTGCCTCGAAAGTTGGGCTATATGTGATATATAGGGACCATCTGATTATTGATTTTTAAATAGTTCTGGGAATGTTGGCTGAAAAGTAAGGGGAAATTGCTTTAAAAAAATAATTGTGTATAATAAAAATGTATATGTGTGTATACATAGCCTACTTTTTCCAAATCTTTTTTGTTCTGTTTGCCATTCTTGCTATGAGTTTCTCCAGAGGCATGCTGTCTTTTGACAGCAAAAGATAAAACTGACTGATACAAATGAGTCACAGTTCCCTTGAAATAGTGATTAAATTCCCAAGTAAGAAAGATGACTTGAAGAATTAACTGTTGTGTTATCCTAGAAGATGCAGCTGTACTCAATGAAAGGAATTAAGCCAGTTCACTTTAGTGCTTTTTGTCTTATATTTGAATATGGAAAAACTGAAACGGTGTTATCATATTTTTAAGAAAAAAATATACAGGTTAAATTTAAGATAAAAACAAATTAAAGCCATATGCCCAAGCATATCTTGGCTGCTTGGTAAAATCCAATGGTTTGGTTGCAAATATATTTTCTGCTCATTTTCATATTTCACTACCCCCAGGAAGAATATTCATGTCATAAAATTACTATGTAAAGCATAGTGTTTGCAATACATTTGCATCAAAATAAAGATGTAATAGAGCATTGGCCATAATTGTTTGGAATAATGGAAGTTAAAGCTAATCATCTCTCTAAATATCCAACAGATAGTCAAGAAAGCTAGATTTGCATTGAATGTTCTCTATGAAAATTAGAGATCAGATCCCCATTTATCCATAAAAATGACTGGAAGATCTTATCTATGCATTCTTTCTAAATCAAAATGTAATTAAGAAATGTTACCAGGATAAAACACACAGTATATACATTTTCATGTGATATTATGGCTTCACTGGAAGAATTTTGGAATAAAACTGTATTTATGAATAACTATATAAAGCACACACTCAGTTATGTGGGGATTGTAGAATGAGGTTATGATTTTAAAGGGAATAAACTGAAATCTCTATCCTGGCATATCTACATTAAGTTTGTTCTGAAGGTGGTGAAGTCTGTTCCAAAATAGCAGAGATAATTCATTGAAGTCAACGAAACCAGTACAAGTGTGGCCTTTGGGTCATTCTCTTAAAGGAAAAGTGCTATCAGTGCCTTGGGGAAAAAAGTGAAACTCTACAACATAATATGAAATGTGATACTGTTGTCAGTACAATTCCCCAGTGAGAAGGATAGATTGTGGTCAAGACCTAAACAGGTTAACTAGTGGTCATCCATTCTGATGGTACTTTATATACAAAAGAAGTCAACACTATTGAAGAAATTTGAAACCTAATAGGCCATGAAATAAGACATCTGTTGGACTATTATTTGTTTCTCTTTAAATGGGCTTTAATTGAAAGCTCAGTGAAAAACACAGGTACAGTCTTTGTGGTATCAATAGTTTGCAGGAACTTCTGATTCCTGACAAATCTAATGTTTATTTGCTTTCTAATTTTAATTATTTAAAAGCAAATACATTATTTGATATATATTTATAGATAGATAGATATATACACCATTTCAAGCAATTAATAGTAAATAATAAACCTCAACCCTGAAATAATATATTTCCTCACATTGGGCATTTTTAAGTTTTATTTTAGGGTTTTTTGCACACATAATTGTAAATGAGGAGAGGTTCAAGTCACTTAAGAGCTATTTGTTTAAGATTAAGAGCCATATGTTAATGGAAAATCTGGACCAGCCTCTTAAGTTCAATTTTAATTTTATACACCTTGCTAGCCATATAACCAGCATGGCTGCATGGTAAAGAAATCCTAAATTTCTATGATTATATGACTGTATGTTGTGCAAGGATCTGTTCTCAATGTGAAATAAATTTAGACCAGCTCCACAATATTAAAAAATGTACAATTTTTCTACATGACAGCTATTGATAAAAAGCAGTCAACTTCGGTGCAAGATTCCCATTTTTAGTACAAAAAATGATTGATTTCTCTGACATCACCAAATTTAGAAATGACATTCTGTTATGGTCATCTATTGAAGGTGACAGTACTATGCAACACAGTGTTTCACAGCATTTTTATACCTATCAACTCAGATGTCTGTCCAGCTAAGTTCAGTGGTACTTATTTTCAGGATAGGATTGCATTGTCAACCTCCTGAAAAGATTTCAGGTACATTGCCACATTCTTCTTTTCTTATTAGGGCAAAAAAGAGATGATAGATTGGATATCTAAATGCAAATATGATGGGATAAGATAAAAATCAGACATGGGGATGATCCTTTTTTCACTTTTAGAAATGAAGTCAGTACTATCTCTCACTCTTCTATGAACAGGTTCTAGAAAATCTCCTTCAGCTCCTAAGTTTTCCAAAGATAAGATAAAATAAAAATTCATCATTATTTTCATTATCAGACTTGACATCATACAGGTGGCAGATCTTTTAGATCACGTTTACTGAATATACATGGACACAAAGCAGAATCATAATGGCAATTGGCCTGGAGTAATGCATAATCAGGATTTGCACACAATATATGAATGTGTGACTATGTGTACTAGGCTGTCTCCATATGACCAGGAATCCTGCAAAAGCAAAATTCCTAATTATACAGAGAAAGTAATACACATATACAGTATATGCTTATCATCTCTATGCAGATAAATGAGTTTGTATAGATCAAGATGATAACAGCATGCACAATCTGACTTATACACACACAAACACATGCACACATGCACACACAGAAGCATACACACAACAAATATTCAATGGAATTCTGAAAGGGCCTTGCACGATATGCAATTTTCCCTATATATTCCCTACCTTCAGTGTAGAGATACGTAGGAACATCACAAGATCAGTGTGGAATGCAAGATTCCAATGCACATCGGGAGATGCATTTACCCTCACCTCTCAATGAGCTGCTTATATCTATACAAAAATAACTATTGCATCCACAGTTCTGAGAGCTGCAAGGATTTGGATTAGTTGACAGTGAAAATTCTCCAAAGAGAATAAAACTGACCTGCCTTGGATAGTGCAGAGGTTACTAAACCCAACTAAACATTTGTACAGGACTGCAGCAGTATTGGAAACCTTGTTATTCACCATAAAGATATAATGTACATGAATTGATGTTTACATATACCATTCATTATGTATGAGTATGACTGAGCACTGTGAGAAATTTCAAGTAAAAAATAAGTACAAAACCTTCTGAAGGAAAGAACAAATATACATAAACTAGAGTCTATAGCAAAATTTAAAGTGTAACCTAGCCAACGTAGTTATAGAATAATGTTACAAATTTAAACCATTTGAGGTTTAGAATGGAAAAGTCCGAAGTCCAAGTTGAAGGCATCTGAAGACTTCCATACGAGCGGAGAGATGATGGCTGAAAATGTTTGCAACAGTTCATAGAATCCCATCTGGGTTGTGCAAAAACTATGAAACATCTAAAGGGTTAGTTGAAGTTTAGTCATGTTCCTGTTGTGCATATTATGATGGCGGACCAATTCATCAGATCGAGCAAATTTCTTTTGACAGCTGGGCCACCGACAACTGAAAGGTTTTTCACCTGTTAACAAAATATACAGTTATATACTATCATCATACATCCTAACATATACTACCACCTTATTCTTTCCTAGAACTCTGGTTAAATAGAGTTGAACTACTATATCTTTTGACTATGTGGTGCTTCATTAAGATCATGTTCAACTTTCCAACAATTCCAATAAAAGTTGGGTTACTCTCTTAGCTTCTATTACTTTTGAATAAAAATGTGTTCTATATGTTTGCACCATTTTCTTACTTTGAGGAACTCAGAGAGATTCCAGTATGTATCCTGTATAGAAGGTGCTCAGTAGATTATTTTCTCAGTTATACCTTCCATTATCTTTTAGATTTATGAATGGATGTTCTCCTTTTCATGCGCAATTTAAATGAGATACTATAGTCTGAACATTTATGTTCTACCTGTTTGACAGAGAAGAGTAAGTTTCACAAGGATGTTTAAAGAAAAAATGAAGTCAGCAATGCGTTACATTACATTTTATGCCACTAACCACCATAGCCTCTTGGAAGTTTGCAATAATAATGTAAAAACAACATTCATAATAAAAATATTAAAAGTACAATTAAAAATATTTTAAACCATAATTAATTTAAACTCTGTGTCTTAAATGCATGTTTATGCACATGTGTCTTAAATGCACATTTAATAACAGGGATTCAATTCCCTGTTTAATCCCTCCATTGAACAAAAGTGTGTTCCAGAGATCAGGGATGGTTACAAAAAAGGCTCAGTCCCAAATCTCTACCAAACAAGCCCAGAGTCTGTGGAGGTAACCTTCCCCCTGTGGCCTCAATGGGTTTTGGGAGGGCGAGGGGGAAATCGGCTGAAGTTGATAAAAGGCAGCCCAGGACATTGCTTCTGCCTAGGAGATGGAGACAGCCAAGACCAGCAGCACTCTCCCTTTCACATTAGAAGGCAGCATTTCTATTCCTTAAGTGGTGACAAGAGAGAATGAAAACTCTGGAGGGTAGCACTGCCAGAAAGTTACTCTGCTGAGTGGTCCTGTAACAGGTGTCCTCCATTGAGACATCCATGGCTTCTCTTTTTTCGTCCTTACTTTGCTTTAAAACAAGCTCAAAGAGTTCCGTCCATACCAAGACTGCATTATGGTACAACATGCATACGCTGAAGAAAATTGCCCACTAAGTACTATTTGCTCAAAATGACTTCTCTGGGAATAAATAGCAGCTAAAGACACAGAGCCACTTTGGTGTAGTGGTTAAGGCACCAGGCTAGAAACCAGGAGCCCGTGAGTTCCAGTCCTGCCTTAGGCACGAAGCCAGCTGGGTGACCTTGGGCCAGCTGCTCTCTCTCAGCCCTAGGAAGAAGGAGGCCATGGCTAACCATTTCTGAACTCTTGCCAGGAAAACTGCAGGGACTTGTCCAGACAGTCACCAGGAGTTAACACTGACTTGAAGGCACAAGAAAGAAGAAAGGAAAGAAGAAAGGAAGGAAGAAAGAAAAAAAGAAAGAAAGAGAAAGAAGACAGACGGATGTTGTTTTCAGTTGCAAAACAGTGCAGAGAAAAAGGTCGCTTCCCTGTTGTCATATCAAGTTATGGCTCCAATCCAGATCACCTTGTAGCTGTTTT